TCTGAAGGAAACAGGGCACCGTGGAGAGTTCTGGCTTCTCCTTCGGAGGTTGACCCTGACTTCTCTATGAACAGACTACGGGCCAGAAAGGTCTGGGGACTTGGAAGCAGGGAGAACACTTGGGAAGCTCCTGCAATAGTCCAGGTAGGCAATGTCAATGGAAGACTGGATTCTGGATACATTCTCAAGGCAAAGCCAATACGATTTGCAAATTTAAAGTGGAATATGAGGAAAGAACAGAGTCAAAGGTGACTCGCAGGGTTGTGGCCTAACTGGTAGCATGGATGATGCTGAATTGGGGGAGAAGCTGAGGAAAAGGGTGGAAAGTCTTTTCCAGTGGCCAGGTCTGAGGACTGCTACCTCACGGTGCTCCCAGGGCTGGCCTTGCACACGGTGGGCTCCTCTCTCTCCCCACCGTCTCATTCCTTTGTCTCTGTAGACCTTGAGCCAGTGGGGGTTCCATCAGCACAGCCTTCCACCTACCCATCCCTTTAGCTGCCCAACCTACCAATAGCCTGCCTTTCCCTCTGTCCCTTTTCCCTTTTCTTTCCTTCGCTAAGGACAGCCACCTTCTACTGAATGCTCACCACGCATTCCATGCACTTTCTATGCAGTAGCTTGCTTCCTCTTTGCAACAATCTTAAGAAACCGGGGTCTCGATTTAGTTCAGGTGACTAGCCCAGGGACATACACCTAGTGATTGGCAAGGCCAGGGTTCAAACCCATGCCTGTCTACCTCTGGAGTCCCCCCTTAACCAGGATGCCCCACAATCTCCAGCCTGGAAGTGGCTCCCTTCTGGTCTGCCATCTTTCTCCACTCTGCACCCTTTTCCTAATAAGGCTCCTTCAGACTTCAGTGCTCTCAGCTGGGGTCCCCCCTGACAGCCCCAATCCCCACTGTTCCTTCCTCTCTCAGAGGAATGTTAACCAGGATTCTCCTACCGTGAGATCTTTTCCTCTCCCCACTCTCCCAGGACCCTGAGACCCTTCACTGCCTCTTCCAGCCAGAGAGGGGAAGGCGAGTCAGCTAATAGGGCCTGGGGGCGGTGGGGTGGGGGCTCTGTGATAGGACCCCACTGCCTCTGCCCAGGTTCCTCCGCAGAAAAGAGAACAGAGGCGGATGCAGCCCTTGTGCCCAGACTCTGACTCTGGTTCCCTGGAATGTCCTGTCTCCTAACCCAGCCTCGGTGGGCACAGATGCCAGAGGCCTGTGGCCTTGGTGGTGGGCAGGGACATTTCGAATCAAAGTGCCCTCTTGCGCCATCTCGCTGCCTCCTAAGTGCTCTGAGGAGGCTGCTTGTGCAGACAGGGAAATAGAGGCAGAGTTCCCATGACTTCCTCAGCCACCCAACTGAGAGGTCACATACTTGTCTTAAGGCCGGTGTCCTGTGTTCCCGCCTGAGCCCAGAACATCCTGGCTCCAGGCTTTCCAAGTTTGCGAAAGGAAACCAAGGAGCTGTGAGAACTCCATGGCCTCGCAGCCACATCTCCACTTCCCTGGCCTGGAAGGAGGGCAGGTCTGTTTGCTCTTCTGCAGGTAACTAACTGCCTGAGCAGTTCTTCCTGCTGGGCCCTGTGGGTATCTGCCTGGAAGGTCCCATCTCCTGTCTGTTACCTGTCTGTCAGAGCCGCTAAGTCCTTCTTCAGGGGGTTTTTCTGCACAAGCTGCCACATCTCCTGATCAGGAGGTTTCTGCTCCGTCAAATGCCTTCCTGCCCACCCCACCCAGGGCACAGAGCACCTGCCTGATCAGACTCGCAGACCGAGGAGCAATGGATTCAGCTGGCATCTGGGGTGAAGCAGAGCTCCAGACAGCCAATCCGGATGATGTCCCAGGGGCAAAAAAAAAAAAAAAAGTCAGGAGCCATGTTCTGAGATGGGACCCAAGATGGAGGCGGCTTTTAGCCCTGTTTGCAAAGTCTGACACCAGCGAGGCCACAAAGCCTGGCTTCCTGGTGCTGCTTCCGCGGAGCAGTCAAAACCTTCCAACTATCGTCCTGGGAAGTCAGTAAAGGGCCCCACCCAACCCTTAGATTTTGTTGCAAAAGGAACAGTTCTCCTTAAGCTAAGGGAGCTCTACTCTGCGGGGAGAGATTGTCTGGGCAGTTATTTTTCCTTTCAAGCCTGAGTTTTGGAGTCAGCAGCCCTGCAATGAAATCTTGTGTGATCAGAACAAGTCATTACAATCACTGAAGCCTCAGCTCCCTTACCTGCAGAATCGGACCACTGTGCCCATCTTCCCGGGACTGCGGGGGACTGGGCTGGGCACACAGCGGGTGCTCCCTAAATGGCAGCCGTCATTCTCCACATCTCCGGAAGGACGCAGAGGCGGGCGGTGCTGCCTCTCTGGCCCCGAGACTCCTGCTCTCAGCCTGCCCTCCAGGTCCACAGATGGCTCCCTGAGTGACAGGGTGATAATTCGTCCCTCCCATGATCAAGGGTACACGCTGCTCCTGTGTGCTCACCTCTGGCGGGAGATGTTCGCCACATAAACGCCAGGCTTCATTTGTAAATTCAGAGGAACAAAAACGCCTCCATCCCCACCCTGCCTTCAGCCACCTGTCCGGTTCTTTTCACCCAAACTCAGGACCTCTGTGGTGTTTCAGTGACAGGGATCGGCTGCCAACCTCACTGTTCCCTTTGGGCAGGAGAGCCAAGCTCCCTCCCCTCTCTCCCTTTGTCAGAGACCACCCAGTGGACCTTGCTGGCAAGATGCCAGCGTCCAGACAGGCGAAAGCGAGGCCTGACCACGCAGCCTCCATCCCCGCAACAGAAGGCTCTGTACAAAGCCCCGAGCACCTGACTGAGGGGCTTTCACCTGGAGCTGACGCAGCCCTCCCGATGGCGGACCACCAAGGGCGGCGAGGGAGGGCTGCAGGTGACTGCTTCGAGGGCCTGCGCGTTGCAAGAGCCATTAGAATCTAACACGTGGCTGTAACACCGCAGATTTTTATATAACTCGTTCCCAACAAAACATCCATTCATAATGACAGAGGTACACAGCTGTGAATTTCCATCACTTCACGTGGGCTCACTGTGCTGACGGCCTGCGTTATGAAACCCCCTCCGCGTGGGCACAGGTACATGAAAAGGAAGGGCCACACTCACACCACTGTGGGGGCATCGCCTTCCGACAGCAAGCAGAGAGAGAGTCATGTGGGGGAGAGGACTTGTGAAATAATTAGGAGCAGCGTCTGCTTTCACAGAAAAGTCGTAAAGCCAGAACCCCCCAATTTTCCTCTCCCATTAAGTGTGACCCATACCTAATAAACCTGCTGGAACTGTAATGTGAGGTAAGTTCAGACTAGTAAAGGCACTGGACGGGGACGAATCTGGAAACTTATTGGCAGAGCCAGGGAAGGTGGGGGAGGGCTCTCCTCAAGCCTCCAGCTCCAGCCCAGCCTGGGGGCCTCCAAGGCCAGCCGGTTCCAAAGACGCTCCTCCTCTTACCTGTACCTCCCATCCTGGGCGCAGGTTACCTCTCGGCAGCCGAGGAGGCTCCTGGGCAACTGCAGGGCCCAGCGGCTTTTATTTGTCCCTAAAATTAATGTCCTCTCACTTGCTGCTCTGGGAATGATTTCAGAGCCAAGCAAACCTACCCTGGACAGCAGAGCCAAGGGCAATGGGACTGAAAGGCAAAAAGCTGAACTCAGGCCTGTGTTTCTAGAATTCTCAGCGAAAATCTGACACGGACAAGGAAAGAAAAGGCACATTTCTCCTTTTCCCCCTGAAAGGTATTCAATAACTGGTTTTAGAAACGTGTCTAGTACCCACATTTCTGAGATTCTGTATCATGACAGAGATTCTAGTTTTTAACTTTCCTAAAATTAAACACACACACACACACACACACACACACACACACCCCTACTCTGAACTTAACATCTCCTGTGTCAAGAATACTTCAGCCCGTAGTCTGCAAAGGAAAGGTAATTTTTCAGGGAAAAAGTCATGAACAACAGGATGAGCAGAGGTGAAGGAACAGCAGCACCGCCCGCCGCTCTGTGCCTGTGAGATGCGGCCTGAGAGGCTGGCAGCCTCTCTCACCGGCCAGTCCGTGTGCTGGGACGCTGGAGCGTGGGTCGCACTGCTCTGCATTTCCCTTCCCGTCAGTAATGGGATCTGAACGGCCTGGGCTCAGGTTCACAGTAAGTACGCAGTCAAAGCTTGTGGAGGGGATGAAGGCTTCAGTCTGCGCACGTCATCCTCCTCCTCTTGTCCAAGGCTGTCCAAACTCATTTCAGAGGAGAATAAACATTCCTTTGCCACACTTGCTGCTGCTCAGCTCTTTCTGCCTTCTTTTTAAATTCGATCCTACTCACCCTGGCCATATTGTGTGTTTTCCTGTTCCTTACTAACCAGGAGGACCAGTTGAGACTTTCCTCAACATTTTCTCTGGCAACCGAGTTAAGTTGACTGCGTATTATTGGCTCTGATCTTTCTCCTATGATTTCCTCTTACTGCCCGAGAATCCTGTCCTGAACATCAAAGGCCTTCTTTGAAGATAAGGCCAAATTCACCATTAGGAAAAGAGAAATTATTTCCTAACTCTATTTCAGAAGATGGAACAACACAGAATCCCTCTGGGTTTTGTGAGATAAACACGGCCCGGGACATCGGATCACAAGGCATTCGCTGTAATACCGCTGACAGAGACATAAACACAGGGCTTTCCTCGCCCAAACCTAAGCAGGACTTTACCACAGTGGTCTTAGATGCCAAATCCCATAGTAAATGGTTTGCATACAGCATGTCCAGGAGTGTGCCTAAGGGAAAGGAGGCTTCAATGTGGCCAGCCCGGGGGATAGAGGCCACCATAGGCTCTGACTAAAATGTATCTGAGTCACACTAGAACCAACTGTTTAGTCCAGTCCCACTTCAGTTGGATCCTTCCAATACCAAATGAGGAGTGACATTCCATCTTCAAGTGGCAACACAAAACATGAAAAATGGTGGACCCTGCAGGCCAGAGATGCTAGACTGTGGGCAGGAAGCCTCACCTGTTTCTTCTATTTCATTGCTGCTGCCATCAGCCGGTGTGAGTGTCGACAAGACTTCATGGGTCATGGGTTTCAGGAAGCTTGTGCTGGGACTGAGGAAAAAGAGAAGTGTCTCATCTTTTGAACAAGCAGATAAACAAATACTTCTGAAGTATTTGCTTTTTATAAGGAGTATTGCTACAAACCAGGGTGATTCCTTGTTAATCCATTTTATGCAAAAGAAAACAAAGAAAAAGCAGTTTTTCTAAGATCAGAGGCTTCCTTCAATCTCCAGTTACCTGGCTCCTTGCTAGAAATGAAGAGAAAAATGGATGAAGGACAATGACGGCATTGAAAACAATCTGTTGATCTTACAGAACCATTACCTGTGCATCCAGCATCCCCTTTTCATCAATATTCCCCAAATATCTCTCAAATGCACATTGTTAGCTGGCTTCATACAAAGTAAGGTGGGTTTCCTGGGAAGAGGTTTGGGGCAAGGCAGTAAGCAAGAAATGGACCCAGCAAAGTCCAGGGCCAGAGAATGCCGGGCCAGGCTGGAGCAGAAGGCTCCTAGGGAGGTGCCATCGCCATGCAGTGGGACGGAGCCACCTATGAGAGGGCTAAGGAGTTTGGATTGTAAACTTTGACTGTTTTTGAGCTGGGTGATGACTTGTTTGTAGGACTAATGGGAGATGGGTGGGGTAGACAGTGGAGAATCCAGCCATCTGTCAGCAGCAACTGTGATGGGCATGAACAAGTGTGGAGGTAGCAGGACTGGAGAGATGGTGTGGATGGTGGAATAATAAAAGGAAGAGCAGGAAAGACTGGATGAGCTTGGGAGGGAGTCTAACTCAGAGGCAGTGGAGATGCAGAGATCTGTGCTCAATGGTTTGAACCAGTGTGAATGGAGTCCACAGGCAGAGCCAAGGCCCAGCCCAAGTTTCCTAATCCTCAGGGCAGTGCCCCTTGAGCTGCATCTTTTAAGCCTTGCTTCCAGTATTGCTCCTCCCTTTCTCTAATCATCACCACCCTGAGGGGTCTAAGGAGGCACACGGATTTCTAGATTAAAAGCAAACACACTCTTCATCCCACCCCATCCCCACCCCCGCCCCCAAATATTTAATGTAGCCTCATAAATGACGAAAAGATTACATGTGAGGGCTTCATATGGGAGCACTCTTAGGATTTGGTCGTTCCCACCAATAACAAAAGGACTGGACATATCTGTTTTCTGAGTCTTTGGTTAAAAACATAAGAGAAGCTTCAGGGCTGTCACAACTACGTGAAAAGTATTTACGCACATGGATGAAGAAACACAAGTTGTATTATAGCATGGGATTGTGGGTAATATTCAAAAAGTTTCTTTATTAGTAGATGCTTGTGCAATAATTAAAAATGGGGGTGGGGCTAGTTTGGAGAACCACCCTTAGACTAAGAAAGCCTATTCTCCTGGGACAAGATGCTCCCAGCCCTGGGTCTGATGTACTATAGATGCTATTGTACTGAAGTATGGAGATGACAAGAAGTTCCATATATTAAAGTAAACAGATTTTTAAAAATATAAAAAAAATCACTTTCTTTTCTCTCCCTCTCCAATTTCCATTTTCCCCCTCTTTCTTATTTTTCCTGACAGCAAGAAAGTTTGGAGTTTGAAGGAAAGAAAGCAAACTCCAGAGGGATAATACTATCTTTTGGTGCCAGGTTAACACTTTCTTATTCAGAGGCCAGAAAGTACTGGATAGTAATTATCTGTTGCACTTGGGTTTTCTTTGGTTTCTTCTCACTTGTTTGAAAGACAAAGAGGGAAAAACCCTTATTCATGAATCATATCAGTGTCTTCGCTGAAATCTGAACCCAGATCCTCCTAGGGCCTGTGAAAGACTGTGACCAGCAGGCTCACTTCTCACCCTCCTTGCTTAAACCCTGGGGTTCCCTCAGGAAGCCAACGGGATTGTTTCGTGAGTAAAATCTCCTACTCCTGCTTAGGGCATGGAAACCACAGATAAGTTGTTAAAGAGGGCTGGAAGCCCAAACACTTGAAAGAACAGTTCAAAGTCAGGAAAATCTCTGGACCCAAATTTGTAGGACGATGGAAAGGAACATAAATCACCCTCTTATCACAAGTTGGCCAACCAATCAACAGCCCTCTGCTGATTTTAAGCCTTGCTTCCGGTATTGGTCCTCCCTTTCTCTACCACTACCACCCTGAGCGGGTTGAGGAGGCAAAAGCCCTATTGAGGAAGGCTTTTGGTAAACACGGATTTCTAGATTAAAAACAAACACCCTCCTCAGCCCACCCCCCCCCCACCCTCTTCTTCCTGACTTAGTCCTTGGTCAAGGAACCAATCATCCTGTCCTCTATCAACCTCCTCTCCCAAGGAAAGCCAACACCAGTGGCTTAGGCAATTCTCTTAAGAAAATGTCTCTCCCAATGTTACTCTCTGAGATCTCTTGGAAGAGGATAAAAGGGACAGTGTCTGTCGTCTCAATCCTCAGACAATCCTCAGAATGTCTATGTAGGTGTAGACATTCTCTAGCCACCCGAAGGGCCAAACTCTGGGTGATAGATGGGGGCAGGCAGGGTCAGCAAAGAGGCACAATAAGGCAACTCCTACTTCTTTCATTTTTACCTCTTTCCATAAACTCAAAGACTCATCTGGCAGGGAAATCATAACTCCACTGCTGTTCCCTCCCTGCCTCTATCCCACTGACCCCAAGGTGCTTCAGGATTACCATGGGAACCTTCTGGGTTTCAATTACCAGACCATTAAAAAGTGCCAATTATAAGACCTCAGAAACGTTCCTGGGTAACCTGTTACACACCTCAAAATGGCCACGCCGCTGCCTCAGAGTCACTTCAAGTAAAGTTTAGAAAACAGGTCCCCCAGCTGTACCGAGCCCTCCAGCCCCCACCTCAGTCCAAGACCCTGTTTTAATATTGTCTATACTGCCCTTGAGAGAATAGGGACTAATTTATTAGCTGTAACCAGAGGGGTGAAAAAACACACAACCCATCACAAAGCTGGGCTGCCAACTCAGGGTCCAGTTGTGGGATAAATCAGAAATGTATGTGCATTCAAGAATTTGGAAAATGACATTTGTTCAGTGGCCAATGTTTGCAAAGTTCTGGGCAACAGAAAACTAGGTGACGAATGGGAGCAGGGTACAGGGCACGTGGGGGTGGCACAAGGGCCTGACACCAAAATATGCTTTTCACTCAGTCCACTCAAGGAGGTTAACTCTGGGCCAGAAACATGTGAGCCCATCTGAACCAGCTGAGAAGGGATGGGGGAGGGGCGGAACACCCCACCACACCCAGAAAGTGCCTGTTTAGGACCGCTGGTGTGCGGTTTGGGTATTCTTAGCTTCACTGCCACATCTCTGGAACGACACAACAACCATTCAAGTAACCCTGCCACTGCCATCCCCATCCCCGAGACAAAACTCAGTAAAACAAACCTTCAATTCCTCCGGTCTGTCTGTTCACCACCCCTCAAAATTCTCCCATCACCTGGAAGAGCAAACTAACCTCGGGCATCCTGAAGGGTTTGGCAGGGCCTTCAAAACCCAGGCAGAAAATTCTTCCTAGGTTCCTGGCCCCTCCCCACAGCCCCTTCCCACTTGTTCAGCGGTTCATTGCCCCACCTTCTCGCAGTTATACAAACAAAAACTCCAAGAGCACAACCCCAGGAGCACGCTGCGCGCGAGCGCGCGCACACACACTCCCTTTTACTGCTGCCCCAACCCCACAGACACCTCTGGACACCCCACTGCAGCCTCGTCCCTTCCACCCCTACAGCTGGGGATGCTCATTTTAAACGCCAATGCCATAAACCCTCACCCCCGAAAAAGACCAAACTGGTGTTGGGTGGTTCTGTGTATTTGTCAATCCCCATGTGGGCTTCTCCCCATGTGGGTTTCTCCCCGTGGTCTGGCGCACGGAGCCAGAGCACTGGTGTCAACCTTCGGGGAAGTTTGGGAGGCTATCCCTGCGCTTCCTCCACCCCAGGAGCTTCCGGGAGTCACCAGCCAGCCCGCACCGCAGGGAACAGGGAACGA